GTTGTGGTTCCCAGGTTCTCCAGATGGATGACATGTCTTTTGCAAATATTCTGTTGAAATTTGCTATGTACACTAAACACACTAAATAAACAGGAAACTAGGAAAAAAGCAGTGCAGGATTAAGCAGAGTCATTCTTCCAACAGCGTATTTTAAATCTGGGATTAACCTGTGAGAATCTAAATGTGTCATATTTAAATTGCGCAAGATTATATTTACTTCTATATCCTAATTTAGCACAACTTTTGAACTTGTAGCCCAGCCGTCAGGCTGTGCGGCATATTTCAAAGACATAAGCCTAGTCTCCTAGGGTGAAAAATAACTCTCTCCAGGTAAACAAGCTGGGAAGGTCAGGCAGGCAGCCTGTTAATTTTTCTCCTGTAAAGGGACACAACTGACTGAAAAATTATGTATGACCATGAGGAACAGAAAAAAGATTGTGGATAGTAAAGCCTAAAGAGGCAACCTTTGTGATCCGTCTGTATTTTGTAGTCCTTGTCAAACTGTCTCCTTTTGTACATGGCTAGATTTTACATTAGTCACAGATAACATGTGTAGTAAATCCCACACACTAGTTGAGCCAGTGTGGTGTAGCGGACGAAGTGACAGACTATGACTTAGGAGAACCAGGTTTGAATTCTTGCTCAGACATGGAAACTCAATTTGAGGTGTGTGTGTAAATCACCACCATCACCTTAGAATTGCCCCTGTCAAGTAGACACGGTGTGGAACTGAAGTCTCAGCCTCTGGCTCTGCAGCCAGATACCTACACTGAATGGTAAAATCACTTCTTAAATATTTCACTTACCTAGAAAGTCCTATGAAGGTCACTACAAATTGGATGCAACACGATAGTACATAAGAAACAAAGGCAGGAATAAAGCAGACAGGTGAGGTGGTAGGCAAGATCACTGGGTAACATATTTTGTGCATGATTATTCTACAGTTCTCTCCACTGATAACTGTTTCTCACTTTGAAATGGAAACACCATAGTTTCTTCATAATTTATATTTCAAGTAATGTTTCAGAGCATTTTGCATGGCTGTGGAGGATAGCAGAAGTGGGGGCAGGGAGAACTGGAATATATAATTGTGCATTTGTGACTCAAAATTCCTAATTTCTGCTGGGGTTGTATTTCCTATTTTGAAATTTAGTTTGCTATTAGAGTTTGCCCTCTAGTGGATTTTTAATGTTCATACAGGGAAACTCCTGGGCTGTACTGAATGCTAAAACGTCATTGATAGGCAGCAGTAATCAGCCAAAGTATCTCCATGGTTGTAGATACTTTCGGTTTTTCCAAAGCATCTCTGACCTACCACCATAACTGAATATTCTGCCTTGAGCCACCTTTAAGATTAATATATTTACTTTACCATGAGCTTTCATGGATTACAATCCATTTCTTCAGCCACATATGTTGCTGAAACAGACTAACATGGTTTACTCCTCTGAAAACTATTATTAACTTGTATTGCAGCTGTATTGCAACTATTATTAACTTTTATTAAGTTGTATTGCAGCTCAAGGAGTTAGATATCTGACAGCAGAGCCAGAGACTGGGAGTCTGAGTCTCCACTATGCGTCCCAGGAGAAGAGCCAGCTTATGTGGACTTGAATGAGCTACAAAATCCCCTCAGATAAAGGGAATAACAAACCACTCCTAAGTACTCTGTGTACACACACACACATACACACATGCACACACACACGCTTGCGCTTGCGCGCAAGCATGCACACACACGCACGCACGCACGCACACACACACACACCATGAAAAGGGTGACAGTAAATTGAAATTAACTAGACAGTGTTTAATAATTATTAGCTCAGTGAGGTGGTCCAGCCCATTCCAACAGCATTCTCATAGAAACAGTCCACATATAGGCTTGCCAGCTCTGTGAGACCTAGGCCCAGGCACTCCTTTAAAGAAGAAAACTCTTCAGAAGGTGTTTATTCTTCTATCTCACCCAACAATGTGTAATTTTAGGAGGTCTACATTAACAGGGTGTGGGGAGAAGAGGGAATGCATCATGTTCCTCATGAATCATGCAGTAGCTTTGGATGCCCCAAAGCTCCCCATGCCATTCTACAATAACTCATTACATCTCTTCATGGTTTCTAGGCAAATGTCTATCCCAAATCTTCCTGGAGTCTACCTGGAGATGCCAGTGACTGAACGTGAGATGCGGTCTGTCACTGACCTACAGCCATTCTTCCCTCTGGATTGGTATTGGGGAGAAGAGTGATCCTCCTATGGTAAGACAGAGTAATTTGTACCCAGGGCCTCTAACCCTCAACACATGGCCTTCATGCTCTGTTATACATTTTTCAAGAAGGCCCGATGGTTCAACCACAAAAGGTAAAATTATGTAATACATGTTTCTGTTTTCTCTAATCTAAGCTGGTTCATTCTTCGTGAAGGGCTGTCATAATTCATTTATACCTAGGTGGTATCATTCACTAATTACCCTGGGCCATACATCAATAATTCACTCACTTCACTTTAGATTTAAAAAAGGCTGTATTCATAGCCTGATACAAATACAAGATGAGATCACGCCATATGCCTGCCACAAACACAACATTTATGAGAGTCTATTTGAACTTCGCAAAATGCTCACCCTGTCAAAATACCAGTGAAAACATTTCACTTTATGAAATGTGGATACTGTATCAGGGCTTCACAACAGAGCATTTGACCCTTCAAACTCAATTCAATTCAGCCTTCTATGATTATTGACAGGGATCCACCAGGGTCTCATAACATTTCCTGGATGGCAAAAACAGCAGAGTTGTCAAGGTGACAGCTAACCAGAATATATGGAAACATAGGAGGTAGCACTATACAAACGGACAGATTTTTCCTCAGCATTGTGAATCGACTCCAAATATTTCAGGCATGAAATCCCACCATTCTCAGTCAACATGGTCAATGATAGCAATTACTGGAGTTCAAACACTAGATAATGGGAAGGACAACAGTTCCTGACGCTTCATTTACAGGGACTTGTAGGCAATTTTTAGAAATTATTTCCAAACAGAAAGCTATCTCAGCTCTACCTGGAGGTGCCAAGGATTGGACATGTGCTCCATCATTATTCCACAGCTATTCTCCCCACTAGGAAATTTTTGGTTTTGTGGATGAGAAGCATGTGCAGACTGGCTTTATGTGATAATTTATTTGATTCATTCTTACATCTACTCTATTATAAAACAGTGATAACAAAGCACATAGTTATACACGCACATATAATGTGGGTTCCATATTGTCAATGTTCCATCTTCATTCTAAAACAGAACCAACCCAAGTGTTGCTCAACAATTGCTTTGACAGAAGCCCCTGACACCCTCAGGCATTTATTCAGAACTAATTCCCATTGATTTTAGCAGAACAGCTTATTTGAAGTTAATTGGGCTAAGTGTTGCAGGCCATGAATAAAATGCTAAAATGCAGATAATTATATAAAATCAATGCACACGTCCCATTACTTCTGTGAGAGCAATTTTTTTGGTGAGCTCTCCAGATTCAATGAGGGCAAAGGTTCCCTGTGAAGTATGCCACACCTGTGTATTACTATACCATGCAAACACCCTCTGGAGATTCATTTATTATACACCACACAACGTTATGCTTCTTTGGAGGCATTATGAGTTGCAGTAGTTGCAGCAGTCACACCGTCCAGTCTCCAGCATGCAGAAGACAACTGTGAAAAATCATGAATGAGCCTTTGCTCCTGAACTGTTATAATCTTGGGGTTCCTTAGGAACTATCAGGGGTTTGTCAGTAAGAAGATGTGTGATAATGGACAAACATCCTTGAATGATCCCTTCCCCTTCCACCTGCCGATTTTCCTTTGGAATGTAAAACCATGTGGAACATTGGGTGTTTTTGTGGGCTCAGTCTCAGTTTAGATATGGCTATACTGAAGCCCAGTAGACTTCAGTGGGGTGTACATGGACTAAGAGACAAACATAGAGTTTTTCTCAGGATGCAAATGGACAGCGAAAGCACTCCTTGAGAGAATGCAAAGGGGCTCAAAACCCATTGGCTTTAAAGAACTGGAGTGGGGTGAGACAGACAAGATGTTAAAAAAAAGAGGTATTTGGAACAAACGTCAGTAGCAGGATGAGACATATTTATGAAGAACTCATTTGCACAATAGGATGTCACATACGAACTCCATTAGCTACTTGGAAGAATTCTGTATTGAAAGAACACAGGCCATACCACTAGCTTTTCTGCCAACCTCTGCACTTTTGAGATTGGCTGTCAAGCGACAGGGCTAAGGAGTTGTGAAATATGACGGATGGACCAAAAATCATGTCCCTACTTCTGTGTCAAGGAATGGACTCCATTCATGTGAATAACGTGTAGAGGCATCTAATGTGTTGATGAGTTATGTCATATTCCTGCTTTGGAGTATATGTATGTTTCTATTGCCTTCCTGGAAGGAATGCCAACCCAGACAGCACTTTTATCCCTGTTGCCAGCAGGTTGTTCCTTTCAGTTATCCATGTCAAGGCAGACAGGTAAGGTATAGAACATTCACTCGGTGTCAACATGCTTTCCCTTAGGGATGAGCAGAACTCAATTAGAACTCATCTAAACAGATATATTTCACTGAATCATACCCCTGTATTACAGCATGAAGCAATGACAGCAGCACTGAAGTAGGAGTGCTCAAACCAAGCAAAATACACCCATCTATTTTGTCATTTGCCAGTATCTGTACTTCCAAAAAGAAAGAATGGGGACACCAAAGGGATTCCCATATGACAGGAATATCTAGGACCCCAGGATGGTCTGGATGGTAATATACTCTGTAAAAGCCTGGTACTGTATCTGGTGTCAGAGGCCACATGGCTAGATAATCAGTGTTTATTACAGGTCGTTCATGCTTATTTAAGCTAACTGCATTTTTATAATTTTAAATATTCCTCGTCTATCGAGAGATGTCACTACTACTCCCATGCAAGATAAAGTTTCAACTGTGCACTCACCTGTGTGCGTCCTACGGTGAGCCTTCAGGTGGGAGCTTTTTGTGTATACCTTGTTACATCCTTCGAAGTCACATCTATGGATCCGGCGCTTTCTAGAGTCAGGTGATTCAGACCTTCTCTGGCGTCTTGTGCTCTCAATACTAAATGGAGAAATGGAACTGTGGATCAGAAGGAAAGCAGAACGTTAGAATATCTGTGCTCTTGGCCATAGGAGGAAGACACATATACATTCATGGCAAGAGACAGAAGGTAACTTACCTACTTCCTTATCTATTTCTCTGAAGATCACAGAGAAATAAATGGGCCCTGCACTAAACTGCTCCTTTTAAAACATATCTTTTGCTTTATACCTGTTTAAAAACTGTATCTCTGTTTTATCATGTTCAATGAGATAAGATATTTCCTCCCCTTTTTGTGGCTAGTAACCCCTCAGTTCAGAACAGATCTGCACAACATGTTACCCATGATAACAAACTCAGTGCAGTGACCAGTGGTTTAAGTATCTGGCTGTGGAACCAGAGGCTGAGTGTTCAATTCCCCACTGTGCCTCCTTGGTAGGGGGTGGACTCGATGATTTATATGGTCCCTTCTAGCTCTGCAGTTCTAAGAGGATGATGATCTACAGGGGCCTGCTAGGGAGGCATGGTCAACTTTGGCAGGTCCAAGGAAAAATTCTGTCCCCATCAGGACAGGCTTACTCCCTCAAAAATATTTTTCAACATTTTCCCCACACTGGAAGTGACTGGAAGTTCACAGTTAAAAACACAATTTAAATCACCATTTTTCAATAAAGCATGGCTGCACAACTCACTTGCTTGAATTTCATTGTATGTATATACTATGTATAGATTTACGATGACAATGAATTATTTGAATTTGAATTTGTGTGAACAGAAGACTCCAGCAGTGCAATTCTCCCTTTTTGGCTAAAAGATTTTGGTGAGGGGAGGAAGGTCAAGAACCACAAAAACAAGCACATGATGCACTAGGGGACTGATATACTTCCTCCTTTTGCTGCCTACTCAGGACCAGAAAAGTAGTTATGGGGATGTTAAGTATGAAGCCAGTCACAACATATAGGTTGGTGAACTTAGGATCACAGGTTGTACAGGCTTGCTCTGGAGAAATAATCAAAAAATTATTAAGCCTGTACATGAACCTGTTCCTAAAGAAAGTAGTGTTGCATTTTAAAATCAGGAGAGACCTTTAGTAAAAGAGACTAAAAGTTCCCACAAAAAAAGTTAAGTTCAAAAACAGAGGAATTATTTAGGTCACAGTATTCTAAATATGTCATTTATCAGAAATCCTAGCAATGACTGTCAAAAGTTGGAACTGACTTAACAACACTTCTTCTTCATCATCACCATCATCACCATCATCACCATACTTCTTCTTCATTATCACCATCACCATCACCATCATCATCATCATCATCATCATCATCATTATAAGGAATATGGGTGTAAAAATGATTTTTGCCATTTATTTTTATCATTCATGGAGATGTCACATTTTGAGAATGAAAATGTGTATGATATAAAATCTAAGTGAAAAAAACTTTTAACAGAAAGTAGTGTCTCTTTAATTCTGTGTCAATTTCATATTTCTGTTAAGATTAAGCTGAAACGATTTTGTTCAAAATAAATTAGAAGCTTCATCACCCCCAATATTTCAAAAATATTGCTCCTGCTCCATTAATGAGATGCCTGTGCATCTACTGTTTCTACATACAATAGTCTAAAGACAAAATGTGAACAAAGGGGACCAGGATTCTATTGGTCACCTCTCAATGTTGCTGAGCCCCAACATCCACTGAAAATGACAACCACAAAGGATTAGAAGCTCTAGATGCAAGCCCACATATACAGGATCCCCTCTGCTGAGGACCCACTCAACATATCGAAAGGTATGCCTCCTCTTCTCCATCCATTACGTGCAGGGGCAGTCTAAGACATTTTGTTACCTGAGAGGGAACAGCAAACAGTTCCGTACACTCATCTATTGATTAATAAGCATAATAGTCAAAGCCAGTCAAATAATTTTGGAATGTGAAATGGAACATCCCCCAAGCACCTTTCTCCATTCCTCTACATAAAAAAAATTCAACAACAAATCAAACAGCTGACAAGTGGTTGCTGTTTCATGTAATCCAAAAGCTACTGCTGGAGAAAATGGTCTCACTCTGCCTAATGGTAGAGCCAGCCATGATGAAAGCACTGATATAATGCATGAAAAAGGTTCTTGTGGAAAACAGTTCTCAGTTTTTACTGAAAATAGTCACCTTGTCACCTCTTCTTCTTCTTTTACCAATTAAAACCTTCTAAATAAAAAAAATACATATACTGTGGGTTCACTAAGAGGTACCCTGCTGCTATGCCATCTCACTGACTGCTACTTGTAGAGGCTAAGAAGCTCCTAATACAATGATCTCACATGTTTTCATTTCCTAGGAACTAGGGAAAGAAGAAAAGGAGGAGACAAGGCTACTGCTCTCAGCCTAAGCCATGCCATCTCCCAAGAATTTCAGCTTTATTCTTATCTGAAGTGTCAGTTTGATCAATTCATCCATTCCTTGCATGGCTTAACCAGTTGTTAACCTTGGGGGTTGCTCTCCATTTAGAAGCCATGATTTATATCTGTGCAAAAGCGAACATATTTAAGATAACCTCCATGTCCTTGGCTTTTAACTTTCACTTTAGATAGCTTAATAGCACATCTGGAAGATGAAGTAGCAAATAATCTCCGGTAATTTCCTCTATGGTCATCACTAACACAGACCAGAAAGGCCTTATCTTTCAAAGTACTGCCACATATGGATATTGTTTGCACTCTCTGGGTCATATTCCTTGCTTCTTCCATAAAGCCATACTTTCTAATGTTCATTGTGGTCATGCTTTTGAAAGGGAGAACATGGTCCAGCCAAAACTAAATGCTCCCCAGTAAAACCCTAGTATACGTATGTACACAAAAGTAGGGCTCAATGTGCTTGATGGGTTTTAAAAGCATGTGTGAAGTACACAACCTAACTCCTACAGGGATGCAGAAGAGCTTAACTGGAATGTGTCTCAGTCACCCCACCCACCCCCGGTTGCTTTTGTTAGGGAAACAAACAAGCAGACAGACAAAGAAGATCCTTTGGACTTGTTTATAAATTTAATCCTCAGTATAGTGAAACATTTCTGTTCTTGGCTGGCCAGTTATCTTTAATGTATACCAAAGTTAATGTATGACCCATTTCCCATCACCTTAAGTCCACACTGGAAAAATTGAAAATGTGTACATGCTGGGCTGCAATAAAGGAAAGTCAGCCAAAAAAGAGGAAGAAAGTCTTACCAGTGACCTTATTCTGCTTTGTGGAAGAGGGGGAAGAAATCACTTGATGGTGTGTGCCAGAGGCTTAGTGGCCAGCACCAACCACTGGTAAAATAGGATGGAGACTGGCTATTTGCCAGAAGACCCTCTGGAAGGAGCATACGGAAGATTTGGTGGTTACTCTATGAGAATGTTTGGGCATGCTGAGGATGATATAAAATGACAGGTTACCCACCTGTAATTGTAGTTCTTCGAGTGGACCTCTGTGATTCACACCCTGGGAGATTCATGCTTGCGCGGAGCCTTATTGGGAGATTCTAGAGTTTCTGCGGTAGCAATGAACATATTAGAATATGCCCCTCCCCACCAATATAAGTACCTTGGCACCAAGCATCCCCTTTCAGCTGTGTCAACCGCCACTTAATAGTAAGCAAACAATGGTGTGACAGAGGGGAGGACATGCGGGATGTGTGAATCACAGAGGTCTACTTGAAGAACTACAATTACAGGTGGGTAATCTGTCATTCTTCTTCATAGCCTCTGTGAATCACATCCTGGATGACTAATAAGCTGTCTTACCTGGAGGCGGGGTGTCATGTCAAGTTAGAGGCTAGAACAACATGTCCAAATGTCGCATCAGACTTTTGCCAGAGAGCGAGTCTATAATGATGGATAAATGTGGGTGGCTGTGCCCAAGTGGCAGAGGTGCAGACATCCAGAAGAGGTACGCTGTGGAGAAAAGCTGTAGAAGCTACCACTGTCCTGGTAGAGTGAGGGCGAACCACTCTAGGGGCTGGTTGTCGAGCAAGTTGATAAGCCAAATGAATGGTAGAGGTGACCCATCTGGAGATAGATTGGGAAGTCACCTGATGGACTTTAATAGGTAGTTGCTGGCTTATGAAAAGATGAGATGACTGTCTAAAAGGTTGGGTACATTGGAGATAAAAAGCAAGAGCTCTTCTGACATCCAACGTATGGAGTATTTTTTTCTTGGTTTGAAGAAGGTGACAGAAAAAAATGAAGGAAGGACAATTGGCTGAGTGAGTCTGCTAGGTCGTTGTCTTGACGAGCGATGTGTAAGGCTGTGAGACAGATGTGATGTTGTAGACACCACTCCCAGAGGTCGACTGCTAGGTAGAGGAGAACTGGGGAGTCGGTGCTGCCTTGTTTCAAGATGTAGTACATCGCCATGGTGTTGTTGTTGGTGATCTGTACCATTTTTCCTACAAGAAGGTTT